GGGTCGAATGAGCCCCTCCCGGACTTCATTCAGAGAATGCAGGACTATACAGCCGCACTCACCCAGGTCAAGGAACAGCAAGAAGCTGCCGCAGCCGAAAGACTACGGCTAGCAGAGCAAGCTGCAGCACAAACCCGGCGTCAAGCCGAGGCAGACCGGTTGGCGATCGATCAGCTCAACGCCGGCAGCGCTGAACGTGTAAGTGCTAACCAAGCACAATGGACAGCGGTGCTGAACGGGATGCGTTATGTCCCGGTACCCGGCAGCGAGCCGACAACAGTACAGCAGGAGAGGCAAGACCTGGCAGATATTCTACTCCATACAATGCGCGCCGTCATTTGGAAAAGCACCATGGGGGAGCTGCATTCCCAGTCCACACTGCAGCTGCAGCACGATCTGAGCCACAACGTGAAGATACTTGCAGCAGCTGTCAAGGTCGCAGACAACCAGCTGAAACAGCTAGATGCGCGCATTGCTACCTTGGAGGCAAGGCCTCCCCAAGCAGCGCCAGGCTGCACGACAGAGATGACAGATACGACGAAGCAGCTCAATGGGCGCATCGATCATGTCGTCAATCTCATCGGCGACATAGGTGTTATCAATGGGCCGGACACGATCAGTAGCACGGTGGCCGCCATCAAGACGGACATCACCAAGCTGCAGACGAAACCGGACGACGCCACGAAGAATTCGACGACCACAACAAGACGGACGCTTTGGCATGGTGGCAACGTTTCCTCACGGAAGCATCATGCCGCACTGTCCCGGCCGACGACATGATGAAGGCGCTATACTTACAACTGATTGGAGGAGCGCAGGCATGGATGAACCATCTGGCGACTACCCACAAATGCACCATCGCCGAACTCCACACGCACCTCACGTGAAAAGAGTTCGAGAAGCTATGGTTCACCTGGTTCATGGTCCGCAACGTCGTGAAGGCGGCCATGAATGAGGTGTACACCTGCTCTCAAGGGAGTATGCCAACTCGAGACTGGACAACCAAGTGGCAGAAGATAGTGACCACGCCAGGCTTCGATTTGAGTTTTCCTAATCAACGATCTGAGTTCTTCTCGCAATCGTGCGCAGGATTGCGGTCGGCACTCGGTAACGAGTACGACTATACCTCGTTCCAGCTATCCTGGATCGCGCAAACCTGGTCATCCAAACGGACGACAAAGCCGCTAACGAGAAACAATCCCAGCCGCATTATGTGGCTAAAAGCAGGGCTATCAACGTCCAACACATAACAATGCCGTGATTTCTGAAGAAACAGACGATCTCCACGCTGCAGCAGCATCCTCGAGTGATGGAGGAATTGTAGTAGCGCTCCCGCCGAAGCGTCCCAAGAGAGTTCGGAAGAACAAGGCGACACAAGAGACGGCATCGACGGGAACTGGGCAGCAGTCATGGACGGCTTACAAGATAACCAAGGATGTCTATGACCTTCGTCAAAAGTACGGATACTGCCTTTAGTGCAACGGCGTCATGCATTTGACCGCACAATGCCCCGAAAAGGGCAAGACACGCGTACCCCGTCCAGCAAACTCGGGAAACTGAGTTACGCAAGGAGAGGGGCGACGTCTCTCCTCATTCCGCCGGAACCGGTTGCCTTGCTAGCATTCGATATCACTACCGGTGAGCATGCGTTAGTCGCTGATTCTCGTGCTACGTACGAGGATTATGCCGCCCAGCTGGTACCACCATTAGACCAGCCGAGCCACGTCCATTTAGCTAGCGTATGCGCAGCCTGTACACCGTCGGCAAGAGATCCGGTCAGCTCGCCACTGACTTCCGAGGACTCGACGGCGTGGTCAAGACTTGAGGAGACGGCGTGGTCAAGACTTGAGGAGCTTGACCCGCTCACAAGAGCGGACTTCTCTTGGATGCCTCTACCCTCGACCGGAACCTTGCCAAGGCCGCATTGCAACGCCTTGATGGCAAATCTACGCTCCTATTTGCACACTACAGTACCAGCTCCGTTGACGGACGACGGACTAGCGGTTGTTGATCTCCGCTCCTATCTTGCTAAGATTGACCGCGAGTACGCCACCCAAAGGTACGCCGAAACCGACGCGCCTTTGCTCTATATCCGCATTCAAATCGGAAAGGCAACTTGTAGTGCCTTGATTGATTGTCGAGCGTCTCGCAACTTTATGAGCCAAGCCTTTATGACCGCGCAGGCCTTGGCCCGCGCGTTAGAAGGAAGACGCAACCCATGCAAGTCACACTCGCGGACGGCCGCACGCAAAAGTCAATTGACCGATGCGTTGACGGCGTTCCGGTCTACTTTGCGCCACTTGCATGCGAGCCGGTGTCTTTTGACATCCTCGACACCAAGTTCGACATGATTCTAGGCATATCTTGGTTGCGTAGCGCCGATCATCCGGTGAACTTTCATGACCGAACCGTTCACATCTGTGATCGGAACGGAGTGTTAGTACCATGTACGRTCGCGACCCCTCACACTTCGATTGCTTGTCACGTGGTTTCCGTTGCGAGAATTCGCGATGCCATTGCTCGGAATGACGTCGAGGAGATGGGCCTTGTATTCTTGCATGCTCTYCCCTCGCCGGACGGACCAGCCGCGTCACCGCCGGACCCACGCATTTCTCACCTCTTGGACGAGTATAGAGACATCTTCGAGGCTCCCACCGGAACGGCTCCATGTCGGCCCATACGTCACGGGATCACTCTCGAGGCTGGCGTCGTCCCTCCGCGTGGATGTATCTACCGCATGAGCGAAAAGGAACTCGAGGTGCTTCGCGCACAACTCAATGACCTTCTCGACAAGGGTTGGATTCGCCCTAGTTGCTCGCCATACGGTGCCCCTGTTCTCTTCGTCCGGAAGAAGAACAAAGATCTACGGTTATGCATCGATTATCGAAAACTTAACGCACAAGCCGTAAAGAACGTCGGCCCTCTCCCTTGGATTGATGATCTTCTTGAGCGATTAGGCGGCGCGACGTACTTCTCGAAGTTGGACTTGAAGTCAGGTTACCACCAGATTGAAATCCAGCCTCAAGACCGGTACAAGACCGGGTTCAAGACACGGTACGAGCATTTTGAGTGGGTTGTCATGCACTTTGGCCTCACCGATGCCCCCGCGACTTTCCAAGCAGCGATGACGACTGAGTTTCGCGACTTGCTTGATCGCAGCGTCCTCATCTACCTTGATGACATCTTGGTTTACAGTAGGACGTTGGACGAGCACATCGTACACCTTCGCGTTGTTCTGGATCGTTGACGACTAGCCAAGTACATAGCGAATCTCGACAAGTGCGAATTCGCCAAGCAAGAGCTTGAGTACTCGGGTCATTTTATCACACCGAAAGGCATTCGTCCCTTAGCGGACAAGATCCAAGCCATCGTGGATTGGCCGGAACCTCGTTGCACGACGGATGTACGTTGTTTCATGGGTTTGGCTGGATATTATCATCGATTCGTCGAGTCATACTCGAAAGTGGTTGCTCCTTTGTCGAGACTTCAGTCCCCGAAGGTGCCCTTCGAGTTCGACGACGCAGCCCGTGGCGCGTTCACTACGTTGAAGGCAGCAATGCAAGCCGCACCTGCCCTCCGTATATATGACCCCACCCTTCCCACCCAAGTGACTACGAACGCTTCGGGATACGGTATTGGTGCAGTGTTGGAATAGTGTCACGAGGACGGTTGGCATCTGGTCGAGTACTTCTCCCAAAAGGTGCCTCTCGTAAACACTCTCGGCGACGCTAGGAAGAAAGAGCTACTCGCGTTCGTCACCGTTCTCAAACGGTGGCGCCACTTTCTTCTCAGCCGTCGGCGTTTTAAATAGAATACGGACAACAATCCGTTGACCTTTTACAAAACGCAGGACACAGTCACTAGCACGATCGGTCGATGGATGTATTACATCGACCAGTTCGATTTTG